TATATATATATATATATATATATATATATATATATGAAAATTAGCATCACTGCGGTTATTGAAGTAAATTCTAGACTGTTTCGTCCTGTGGGGATTCACAAGCAGTGAGGGGGTTGGAAAGTGAAGGTGTAGGTTCACCACGCGACAAACTACCCAAGATCGTAATCACTTCCGCTACCACTTTGCGACGGAAATCGTGAACACTTTAGTTTCCGTCACGAAACACCTAAGTCCCTTTTAATATTCTTTTTTTTTTTCTTCTCAAGTTTTGTTACTTTACTTTTTTTCATGTGACAAAAATTTGAAAAAAAACAAAATTTCTACTATTCACGCAGTTATTAATTTTTTATCACAGTAAATTGTGGAATTAATTTTTTTAACACCGCAAAATAAATTAAAATTAATACCAAAAAAAAGAGAAATTAATAAATTTCATTTACATCGAAAATTAGAAGAAAGGGACGTTAGAAGCAAATAAATTATAGGTTATGTTTATAAAATTAATTGGTTCAAGTAAATATTTATTTAAGTGAAATAAATTTTTTTTTTCAGTATAGTTTATTGTGTAATTGTCACAATAAATTTTTATTTTGTTATATAAAATAAATAATACTAATAATAATAATCATTATAATAATAGTAATAATAATAACAATAATAAAAAAAAATAATGGTGTTAATTTATAGTCATTTTTTAAAAATAGAATTACATTTTTAAAATATTCGAAAAAAAAAAATTGTAAAGGAACAAGTCACCACATCTGCTTTTGGGTCCCCAAATACCGTCCAGGGGGGTCTCACACACGTAGAAGGGGAGTTTAAAATTCAAAAGCTTTCAGTTTTTTTTTTTTTTTTCTTTCTGCTCGAAAAATTTTAAATATAATTATGAAAAAAAGAACTTTCTAATTTTTTTTCTTTTTTATAAAATTTTTAAATTTTGTTTGTGTAATTGATTAATATGATTTTGTTAATTTAATTTTTTTTTTTACTTTTTTGTGAATTCAATGTGAAAAAAAGAAAACTTTTGAAAAAAATCACTTTTCTCTTAAGTTATTTTAGAATATATATATATATATATATGAAAATTGTTCATATTTTAACAATTGCATCGAGATTTGAAATTACAGTAGTGCAAAGTAGACTTCTGGGGACAGTGAATTTCAAAGACACGCGAGCTATTTATAATGCAGGGACCTGCGTTTAGATGAACCGAAAGATAATTGCCTTGAAAGAGGTCTATAGAAAAATGTTGCAAATTTTTTTTTTATAGAAAACAAGAAAAATTATAAATAAAAAATATAATAAATAACAAAAATAAATAAAATAAAATAAGTAACAAAAATAATAAATAAAAAATATTATTATATAGGTAATAAATAAAAAAAAATTAAATTAAAGAAAATTGCGTGATTCCTAATTATCCTAATTGATTGCAATTAATAAATATTCACATATAAACGAATTAACATCATTTTATATTTATCATTCAAATATGTAATGTTCCATATTTGAAAATGATAAATTTAAAATTAAAACATTAAAATAAATACAAAAAAAAAAAGTAATTTTATCCTAAAAACATTTTTTTTTTCAAAACCTGAGAATGACATACAAATTAATTCAATTTTTACAAGCAGAATACATTATAAAAATTCTCTTTATATATTAAAAAGAAATTTTTTAAAAAGAGAATATTTTTTCTTATTAGTTCAAAGGTATGTCGCAAAGTGGTAACAGGTGTCATGGAAAATATATATATAACAATTTTAGAATATCTAGATTAGCCTTCCTCTTGGCGGGGGGAAGGAGGGGGGGAGGGGAGAGATGGAAATTTTCTGAGAAGATATTTGGATCGATATATTGTTATTGATTTTTTTTTTTTTTTTTTTTTTTTTAATATAAAATATAATAGAAAATAAATTATCTATTTTCTTGAGCGCGCTTTTGAGGGCAATATTGTAAACGGACGCAATTATTGTCTTTGGGACACTAATCTATTTCCGCAGAGTTGACATTCGAGGTCGCAGGACGAATATTGATTCCTTTCGTAGACTGGACACTGGTCATTATCGATCCAATGGAAAGTTCAGGGCTGTCCAGGAAATGGAACCTTTGGCACCCGATTCCTCGAATTGACTGCAAAAGTTCTTTTTTTCAATTCTATATATATATATATATATATATATATTTTCAAAAATCAATTTTCCATCTTAAGTGATTGCGAAAAAAAATATCTTCAATTATATCTCGTTTTTTTCGATTATCTCTTTCAACTTATTTTTAATTTAATAATTCAACAATTAAATAATTATTAATTAATAAATTTAATAATTTAATAATTTAATAATTAATAATCTCAGGATTAAAAAGAAAAAATAGAATTTAAACAAAAAATCTTTACCTTGAATAGCGATAAGTTTCATTGGAACAGCGATATGTTTCACGAAAACAGGGAAAATTTTCACTATTCTAGAGAAATGTATCGCTGTTCCAGATATATAAACTCACAGAAATGGTAATATATTTGCTCCAGAACCAATATTTATTTGATTCAAATAAATTTTTATTTGATTTAAATAAATATTTATTTGTTTTAAATAAATTTTTATTTGATTTAAATAAATATTTATTTGATTTAAATAAATATTTATTTGATTTAAATAAATATTTATTTGTTTCAAATAAATTTTTATTTGATTTAAATAAAAAATTTTATTTACCCCAAATAAATGGGCCAAATAGGCTGTGTGACAAATATACGTTTATTTAATTCAAATATATTATATTTAGTTCAACTAAAACATTTCTCGTGGTCTAAATTTTTTTTCCCCAACAGGTGAAAATGGATAGAAAAAAAAATCATATGTTAAACATGCATAATAAATGAAAAAATAATTTATCATCATTCAATAATAACATATATAGCTTTATTAATATAATTTAAATCAAAATTTTTTTTCACAATAAAAAAAAAGTCTAATTAAATTTCTGTCATTCTGTTATGCTTTTTTCCTATAAATATCATATTGTTTTGGAATTTGTCATTTTTTTCCATTAAATATTTAAAAATCTATCACGGAAAAAAAGAGGATTTATTTGAAATAGCGAAAAGTTTCATTAGAATAGCGAAAAATTTAACTGAAACAAGTAAAATTTTTTGCTAATTAAAAAACGTTTCGACTATTCCAGATAAATCTTTTTTGGCGTCCTACTAAAGAAGTATATCGCGTTTTTATTTTTCAAATTAAATTAGGTACTAACGTTGGTGTTAGATAATATCGTGTGTCGTGTGCCGAGAAGTATTTTTTACTATACAGTACCTACACGTTTTGATGTTGGTTTGCCGTTTCTTTCTATTTAATTTTTTTTTTATAATTTCTATTTTTTTTTTTTTTTTTTTTTTTTGGTGACACTATTTCTTTGATTGTTTTTGTGTCGCCTCTAATTTATTCACGTGAGAGCATTGTCAGTGTTTATCAATGCTTCCTTACGCTTTTTCAATTTTTAGAAAATATTTCTATTTAATTATTATTATTATTATTATTATTTGAGTATGAATTAGCGTCTGTTGAGCGCGCAGAATTTTATTGCGTGCGCAATATGTGCGGGTAAGGGCGCACTCACACCTTCTGGCTGCCTGCCTGCCTGCAGGAGTTGTCATGGCAACGTGCAGGAGTAAGAGAGAGAGAAAATTCAAATTTGAATTTACTATCTCTGTTACTCCTATACGTTGCCATGACAACTCCTGCAGGCAGGCAGGCAGCTGAGAGGTGAGAGTGCGGCCTAACAAATCAGTTTTCACGATGCCCCACTCCAAAAATGTTGCGCGCGCAGAATTTTCTGTGACACTAATTCAAACTCTTGGTTTTTATTTTCTAAATTACTTTTTCTCATGTTTTACACACTTTTTTTTTTTGAAATACTTACACATAAAGCTTCAAACTTTGGGCAATTTGTCCCTTGATTATTTTATTTTTATTTTTCGTTTGCTGTTATTTGTTTGGTTTTTGGTAGTTTTTGGGACATATTGCAAAAATCGAAAGTTTCAGGCAAATATTTTTATCAAAGAGTTTTCGTTTAAGTTTTATAATTTTTCTTTATTTATAAACACTGGAAAACAAATTTTATTTGATTTAAATAAATATTTATTCAAATAAAAATTATTTGATTCAAGTAAATATTTATTTGATTCAAGTAATCGAAATATTCGAATCAAATAAATTTTTTTTTCATTGTATTCACTTTGCAAAAAATTGAGAATAACAAATTCGATTTTCGAAATAATAGTAATAAATAGAAAATTTTGTTAGATAAATAAAAGAAAAAAATTTTGCAAATTTTATAAGGAAAGTTTTTATGAAAAAATAGAACTTTAATTAAGAAAGTAGCAAAAATATTTTTATTTCTTGAAAAACGTGGTTAGAATTTTATGAGCTTCTCTTTTTTTTTTTTTTTTAAAGAAGACGCATGTTTAAAACGAAGATAACGTTTAATCTCAATTATTCTGCTTCAACACCATTTGGTTTTTTATTTACTCAGTTTCACAAACTCATATAAACACAATGAAAACAGCCGTAACAAAATACCTTCTTATCAAAGCCACAGGTGTATCGAAAGTTGTTTTTTTTCAAAAAACCATTTTTTTTTATTATCTAACAGTTTTTTTTCGATATAAAAACATTTTTTTAATTCAAAAAAAAATGAAAACCAATTTTCTTCACTATGGCTTGAAAAAAGGCATTTCATAACAAAAAAACATATTTCCTTCATCAATAATAATATTTAATTAATTAAATAAAAATTTCTAAAAGTTAAAACAAATTCTAAATTTTACAAAAGAAGTGAAAATTATTATTATTATTATTATTGAAAATGCGAGGAAATCTGTTAATGGGAAGCTTCGGTATGTACACTTCTTAAAACACTTTCTCCTTTTGAATATTGACAAAAAAAAAAAAAAAAAGAAAAAAATCGTAATTAAAAAATTGTTTTTCTTGCAGCGTGCCACCTGGTTATATGTATCAATCACCATATTTGGCAGCGGCAGCACCAGGAGGTTTAGTTCAACTTCCGGCAACGCAATTGAGTCATGCGGCAGCAGTTGCTGCAGCTTCGCAATTTTATGAATATCAAAATGCCGCTGCAGCGGCGGCAACATATCCTGGAACGTCGTATAATTTTGCTGAGGCCTATCCATATACAAGTGCTGCAGCCGCTGGTATGTCTTTGAAAAATGCTACAACCAAGAGCAACGAGATCAATTTGACACACCTACACCACAGTCAGCACAGCAATGGCAACCAGACAATGCTGACACATCAACGTTTGGGAAAAGTGTTCCTGCCACAATATCTGCCAACCATACTCCGTGGCAATGGTAGCGATTCTAATGAAAAAAAAAAAAAAAAAAATGATTGGCAGAATTTTTTTTCTTTTTTTAATCGTGGAAAAAATTTATTCACAAATTAAGATAAAACTAGCTCTGATTAATATGAAACGGTTGGGTATTTTGAAAATTGCATTTATTTTTTAAAATTTTGAATAATATTCTGAAAAAGAATAGTATTCTTAAAATTAGAATAGTATTCGTCAAAATGAAATTGTATTTTCAAACTTAGGAAAGTACTTGGGAAATTGGAAAAGTATTCTTAAAATTGGAATAGTATTCAGAAAATTAGAATAATACTTCTAACATTGGAATAGTATTCTTAAAATTGGAATAGTATTCCTAAAATTGGAAAAGAATTCCTGAAATTGGAATAGTATTTCTAATATCAGTTTATTATTCATAAAATTGGAATAGTATTCTCAAAATTAGAATAGTACTTCTAAAATTGAAATAGTATTCTTAAAATTGGAATGGAATTCCTAAAATTGGAATAGAATTCCTGAAATTGGAATAGTATTCCTAATATCAGTTTATTATTCCTAAAATTGGAATAGTATTCTTAAAATTGGAATATAATTACTAAATTTGGAATAATATTCTTAAAATTGGAATGGTATTCCTAAAATTGGAATAGAATTTCTGAAATTGGAATTGTATTCCTAATATCAGTTTATTATTCCTCAAATTGGAGAATAGTATTCTCAAAATTAGAATAGTACTTCTAAAATTCTTAAAATCTTAAATAAGTACTTCTAAAATTGGAATAGTATTCTTAAAATTGGAATAGTATTCCTAAAATTGGAATAGAATTCCTGAAATTGGAATAGTATTCCTAATATCAGTTTATTATTCCTAAAATTGGAATAGTATTCTTAAAATTAGAATAGTACTTCTAAAATTGGAATATAAATTCTAAATTTGGAATAGTATTTTTAAAATTGGAATATAATTGCTAAATTTGGAATAGTATTTGTAAAATTGGAATATAATTGCTAAATTTGGAATAGTATTCTTAATATTGGAATATAATTGCTAAATTTGGAATAGTATTCTTAAAATTGGAATGGTATTCCTAAAATTGGAATAGAATTCCTGAAATTGGAATAGTATTCCTAATATCAGTTTATTATTCTTAAAATTGGAATAGTATTCTCAAAATTAGAATAATACTTCTAAAATTGGAATATAATTGCTAAATTTGGAATAGTATTCTTAAAATTGGAATATAATTGCTAAACTTGGAATAGTATTTTTAAAATTGGAATGGTATTCCTAAAATTGGAATAGAATTCCTGAAATTCGAATAGTATTCCTAATATCAGTTCATTATTTCTAAATTTGGAATAGTATTCTTAAAATTGGAATAGTATTCATAATATCAGAATAGTATTCCTAAAATTATAATAGTACCTTCTAAATTAGAATAGTATTTCTGAAATTTGATAACAGCATTCCTAAAATTGGAATGGTATTTTTAAAATCAGTTTAGAATTTCTAAAATTTGAATAGTATTCTCAAAATTAGAATATAGTACTTCTAAAATTGGAATAGTATTCCTAAAATTGGAATAGTATATTTAAAATTGGAATAGTATTCCAAATATCAATTTAGTATTTCTAAAATTTAGATATTATTCTAAAATTAGAATATAATTGCTAAATTTGGATTAGTATTCATAAAATTAGAATAGTACTTTCAAAATTAGAATAGTATTTCTAAAATTTGATAACAATATTCCTAAAATTGTAATGATATTTCTGAAATCAGAATAGTATTTCTAAAATTGGAATAGTATTCTCAAAATTCGAAAGAAAAAGAAAATTCCAAAATTTATTCTTAATTTCAAAATAAATTTTTTTCAGTCTAAAATAATTTTGCTTCCGTCCATAAGTCTGAGAATGTCTATATTATCGTTCTTATTAATAAATACTGGCAGTCTACATTTTTGACACGAAAAAAATAATCATAAATTTTAAAATAATGGATCCAAAATGGCGGTTTTTTTTAAGTTTATCAAATTCACTTGAAACTCATTACTCTGGTGTTTTTAGTATCGTTGATTACAAATCTAACATCAAATTCATAATCAGCGACCCCAAAAACCCCGGAGTAACAAGTATCAAGAAAATTTAACGAATTTTAAAAAAATCATCCGCCATATTGGATCCGCCATTTTGAATTTTTTAAAATTTCACTTCAAATTTGCAGTCAGTTACCTCAAATCCCCTATAAATACGAAATATAGAAAAAATCAAATCTAAGGACATATTGTTAATTTATTTGAAGGATATAGAAGAAATATTTACAATTCTTTTTACTTTTGGATGGAAGCAAAATATATAGTAGGTCGAGAAAAATTTTTTCACTGTCATATAAATATTTTTAAAAAAATATATATTTTAAAACATCCCCTAAAAAAAAGACTTTTAAAAAACAATTTTCGACCTATTTTATTCAGATTAAATTTTTAGATAATAGAATAATTTTTTTATTTAGTATTTTTGCTTTATAATAAAAAAAAAATACTGCAATCTATATTTTAGAGTTTATTTTTAATTATTTTTTTTTGTGCAAAATATCGAAATATGCACATCAGAGTTAAATATTTTTCACTTCTGCTTTTGCTTAAATGTACAAGAGTTTTTTTTTTTTCATGCAAAATCTTTCTCTCTAGAATATTTAAATAAAAATAATTTATAATTTTCAATATTCTATGATTGAAACAATTTGCAATTAAAAAAAAAAAAAGTAGTTAAAATTTTCAACATTTTTTTTTGCCACTACTGCAATTATTTAATCTTTTGCTTTGGTCATCAGGGTCGCTACCGATATTATTTCTCCTCTCTCGCTTACTTATTTTCAACTTTTGGAACTGTTTTTTTTTTTTTAAATTTATTTTCTATTTAATAAATTAGAAAAAAATATTGCGGAACATGTAAAAAAAAAAAAAAAAAAATTAAAATCAATGACGAGAATGAATAATAGAAAAAGTAGAAAATAGGTAAAAAGAAGTAAAAGTGGGAGAAAAATTCAAAACGCAATCTTGCATGTTTACGTTCCTATATCATATCTATTATGCGATCGACATATATACATTAAATGCTGAGCTGTCTGTGGTGGTGGTGGTGGGTTAAAATGACCAACGGTAATCTGCAACGATTGAGCATCGCTTGCGTTCAATGTTTGGATTTTTTTTTTCCACATATATTTATAATAATAAAAGAAGAAAATTTTTTCTTATAGAAAAAATAAAAATGAAAATAAAATTAAATGAATAAAATTTTGTAATTTCTTTTTTTTCAGCAAATGCAGCAGCAGCGGCGGCAAGTTATGTAACGCCATATACGTACGCAACTTTACCAGGAGCAACAGGATTACCAACTGCAGCGACAGCAGGAGCAGCATTTCCTGGATTGCCTTATCAAACGACTCCTCAGGAAGCTAGGCTTCAGTAGAAAAGCTCAAATTTTATTTCTTGATCATTATTTAATCGACGAATCTCAAAATCGTAATTTATAACTATATATAGATATCGAACATCTTTCTACTAGAAAAAAAAAAAAATTTGTTGAAATTTCTTGTCTCTTTTTTAAAATACGTCTCTTTTACACAAAACAATTCTATCTCTCTTGAAAAATTTGACAAATTTTTTTTTGACAAAACAAGAGAAATTTATTCTAAATATGTTTTAAAAAAGAATGAAATTTTATCTAGATTGTTTAAAATTTTACAAAAATCAAGAGGCTGGAAATTTTATTGTTCATTGTTGAATTGTCATCATTTAAAAAAAATATATACAAAACAAGTTTTTATTCTTCTAAAACTTGATATTTATATTTCTTTTGAAAAGGAAAATCTTTCACATTCAACATACGTCCTCATATTAATTACTCTCTAGCTTCCCTAATCTTCCCTTTATATAGGAGCTAAAAAAAAAAATTAGCGCATACGCCTCCAAAGAGAAGTAGATATTAATGTTATACTATTTATAAAAGAAAAAAAGAATGAGACCTTTTCCTTCGATTCTCAGTATAAGGAATCGAAAGAATAGGTCGATTGTAAAATAGAATTAATCATAGAGTATAAAATTAGAAGAAAGAAGCATATAATAAGGGTCTCTTGTATCCACTGTTCTTCTGTATAATGTCACTTTTTGAGAAACCTCTTTTTTTTTTTGAAGAGTTTCTTATTTTATATTATTTTTTCTAAGACGCAATTGTATTTTTTCTTTGAAGCAAATATTTTTTTTTTTTCAAATGTATTTTAAAAAACTTTTTATTCTACCATTTCAAGAACTTTTCTCAAGAATTAATTGTAACGGCAAAAAAAAAAAATGTTTTCTCTTCGACTGATTTTAAGTTTCGTCTTCTTTGTAAAAAAAAAAAATCAATGACAGAAAATTTATCGTCATTTACAGATCAGCGAAGTTAGGAGTTAATATTGTTAAAACTCTAACCGAAGTTGCCTTATGAGAATAATGTCATCAGAAGTGTCTTAATTTTGAGGCCTTGTAAAAAAAAAAAAAAATATTCAAGAATCCCTTTTTCTACATAAAATATTAAAAAATTGTAATAGAGAAATGAGTCATTTCTATATGAAATTTGAAAAAAAAAATGAAAGAAACAAGTGCCTTAGAAAAGCGCTCTTGGAATCGGTTAGAAACTAGTCAGTGTCACGTTTGTGTATGAAACGCAGAGAGAAAAGTGGATGAGTGAACAAGTTTAAAAAAAAAAAAGTGTGAGAGAGGAAGAGCGAGAGTCAATTATCAAGGATCGCGTTTTGAGGTCATCTAGTCTTAAAATTAGAGACCTTTGAGACTTTAGAAATCGATGATTTAAAAAAAAAATTAGGTGGCTTAGTAGACGTCGATGAAGAGAGAATCATCGAAATGTATAAATAAAGTAGAAAAAAAAATCAAACATAAGTCTCGAGAAAGCAGAACATAGTTTCGGATATTATTATTATGTAATAGGACGATTAGTAATATAATACAGTTATTAGGAGGAAATAGTAATTACCTAATTATTATATTATTATTATTGCCATTATTATTATTATTATTATTATTATTATTACAATTATTATTATTATTATTATTATTATTATTATGACTATTATATTATATTATTATTTTATCTATTTGATAATAGTTATTACTGTTTTGATATGTCTCAATATCACTTTCAATTACAACTAGAATTATTATATATATATAGTATTGCTACTGCATAGGTAAATATGTACTTAAAAGAAAAAAAAAATCAAGGAAAATTAGAAAAAAAATACGCTAAGCGTCAATGACTGTGAATGTCATGACATTCTAAGTGCTTAGAATTAACGACTGTAATATATATATACCTATATTGTCTGTTAACTACAATACTATCAAATATTGTCGTTCAACATATTAGTTTAATTAAAAAGAAGCAAAATATATTGTCTCTAAGAGAAAAATATAAAGTTTTAATTTTTTTTTCTACTTCTACCTATATATATTAAATTTAATCATGCAATTTTTTGTTTTTTTTTATTGGAATTTTCTCTGCATTAGTAAAAATATGATTACGATTTAGTTTTCTAAGATAATTTTTTTTTTGCTGCTGCTGCTACATCTGAAACAGAAAAAAAGATTAGAATTGTGTGTTCTAAAAATGAATTAGTGTTTCTTTTTGTTTCCTGATTTTGGGTCAAAAAACCGTATCTAGAAGAGAGAAAATTTATTATAGTAGGATTGCAATTTAGTATTTAAATAATATTAACAAAATTTTATGTTGCATTAATTTTTTATGATTTAGTTTTCAGAAAAACCACTTTTTTTTATCGATGAATCTGCTGCTGCATCTGAAATAGAAAAATAAATTAGAATTCTGTATTTTAAAAAAGAATTATTTTATTATTTATTTTTATACCTTATTTCTTGATTTTGGGTTAAAAATCTATATCTAGAAGATTGAAAATGATTACTGATGATGATTTGCTGCATTTATAATATTACGATTTAGTTTTCTAAAATAATCTTTTTTTCGCTGCTGCTACATCTGAAACAAAAAAAACAAAACATCAGAATTGTGTGTTCCAAAAAAGAATTATAGTATTTCTTTTTACACCTTGCTTTTTGATTTTCTTATTTTAGCTCAAAAATCTGTATCTAGAAGATTGAAAATGATTGTAATTTTTCATTTTCTATCAATAATCCTTCTGCTGCATCTGAAATAAAATAAAAAATATTACATTACATTTCTACAGTTTTGTGTACAGTGCATGTTAAAGTTGCTCGCACTATATCCACTCTTTGCGTCGATACGTTACCATTGGAGTTTCACCTCACTCAGTTTGACTGTAAGATGTCAGCACCTAACTCTTATGAACATAAAACATAAACTTTTGAATTACTCTTCTTTTATCATTTTTATTGTATTTCAAGAGTAGGGGAAGCAAAGTAACAACTAAAGCGGATGATGCTCAGTTATCCAGTGATTATTCGACATTAGAGTGTTCCTTTAATTCTCAAATCACCTCTTGTCATCTTTATCCTTGAATAAAATCAATTTTTTCAAAAAACAATAATATCGAAACTCTTGTTATTTTTTTTGCAAAAAAAAAAAATCGTTCTCCAAACGAACGATTATAAGAAAGTGGATTATCCTTCCGGCGTCCATGCAGGAGCAAGTCACGTGACCTGTCATTAAAAACGGTAAAATTTTAATTAATTTGAACAAAAATATCGTTTTTTTTTATATCGTTACTCGATTAATTTATTTTTTAACAAAAAAATTTTTTTTAATTAAAATTCTATTGGAAATAAAAATGTTTAAATTTTGCTTACTTTTTTGGAGTCGATAAATATTTGTAATCGCAATAATAATGCTCAGTCATTTAGATTATCGAGATTTGTAATCAGTAAAAATTGTGGAAAAAAAAATGAGAATTCTCTAGTTTTCCTCTGAATGTACTTTATCAGTAGTTTTTTTTTTTTTTGAATTAATCGCTGTGAAAAATTGAGATTTTTAAACAATTGCAATAATTGTCACAGTCACGTTCGAATATTTCTTTTTCTTAATATTAATAGTAAAATTAAATTATTTAAAATTGTAAGAAATGAAACTTAAAAAATTTTGAATTCTAAGAATTTTTTTTTGATTATTCAATTATTTATTATTTAGTTTTCAATTATTCAGTTAAATTTTTTTTTTTGTATTATTCTGAGTCACATAATGTAAATTCAATAATTCCAAAAGGAAAAGTTAAATAAAAATAAATTTTAATAAATTTCATTTGTATAAAGTGAATTTATTTCTAAAGCACCAATTGGATTATAATATTTATAATGATAATCGTGCACTATAGAGAATACGTGCTACTTTTACAGATCTTAGCTATGACTGCGCCCTTTCACTTCATTATAATACCAATTTGTGTCAAAAAGACAACAATGACAAATCGGTTATATCACAATTTCTTATATGGACATTAATTTTTTTTTTTTTAATTCAAGACTAAATTATAATTTCTTTTAAATTCTATTATAACATGATTATAAAAGAAATTGTTTTTGGTATTTTTTAAATTATTGATCCAATTTTTGTGTAATTTTGTTTTTACATGTTTTATGTCATCAACAAATTCGTCTATATAAGATTAAATATTACTTTACTAAAAGCGAAAATGATTGATGTCATTACACTAAATATTTAAAAAATGTTCGATTAATAATAAATAATCTCTTTTTATGAACGTGCTTAATATGTTTGTTGATAATTACACATATTTTACGATTGTACAGATTACAAATACATTCATGAATATTATAGTATAGCCGTGTATTTTATGAAAGACAAAATATACATTATACACGAAGGAGATAATAAACGTTTCTTAGGATATGCGCGCATCCTGTAAAATTTCCACAATCAATTTTAATTTTATTTAAATGAAAAAATTTTCACTTAAAAAATTAATTTTTCTCTATGTAAAAATATTTTCTTTAGAATTTCAACGAAAATTTTCTGTAAAAAAATTAATTATTATATATTCAAAAAAAATATTTTTAAATTCAACTGATTAAAACAATTAGAATAAGATATTTTTTTTCTTAAAATAAGTATTTTATTGTATTGTTATAGGATGAAAAAAGTCTTATTTTAGGTTTTGCAATATTTTTAAAACTCTTTTTTGATTTTTCAAAAATTTATCAATTCAGGTTTATTCAAAGTTTTACTATTACTGGGAAAATTTTACTGTAACAATGAATTTTTTTTTTTACAAAAAGCATTATCGATCTTATCTTTCTATAAAAAAAAAAAAATTGAGTACCGGAAATAATTATAAAATTTTTTGTTTTAGTCATATTTAATATTAATATTTTGAAAAAACTTTTTTTTTCTGCAATGAAAAAATTGTTTTTAATTGAAAAAACGTTTTTATTTATATATATATATATATATATTGTTCAATGCATTTTAGTAGTGACTGTACAAGATTCGCAGAGAACAGTAATTTACCTCTTGTTACATGCCTTTAAACAGATTTAACAAATCGTGTACAATAATTGTATAGAAATGCATTTGTCGAACTCACAGGTCAAACAATGTTGGTAGTTTCATTATATAAGAGAAAATTGTGCATTTAGATAACAAATATCTTTCAATATAATACAAAAATAATTAATTTTTATGTATTATTTAAAGTTGTGTCGCACGATGTCATAAAATATAATAACATCATCAAATATGCATTTAAACATTTTTTTTTTGCAACTATTAAAAATTTATTTTCTTTCAACAATGCGTTTTTTTTTTTTGGTCAAATTTTAGTAAAATAATTTTTCATTTATTGACAATAAAAATAAGAGTTAAAATATGTAAGTAACAAGCAACAAAGTATGTGTAGCTCTTGAGTTTTAATAATTTATACATTTGCGATAAATTTCTATTTTAATACTTCTTTTAAAAAGAAAGATTTATATTTAAGTAAAATATTTTATTATTAGAAATTCATTTATTATAAATTAGAAAATTAATATTATGGAGTAATTTTTTTGATTTTCCGGATCCCCTAAAAAAATTTTTTTTTAATCTCACTTTTTTTTGTTTAAAAAAAAGTGGAATTAAAAAAAACAATTTTAGGGGGTTTGGTACATAAAAATCACGCTCTTTATTATTTATTAAGGACTGCCGGAAGGATGGACGAGGATGCAAAATGCGGTCTTTGTGGAATTTATCCCAAATGGCTTGCAGGAAGAGCAACGTCAAAAGTTTTTATTATAGTTTATGGCCTTCTTGGCACTGTTCAAAGTATGGCTTTTGTGTATGTCATGGTCACGTTAACAACACTTGAGAAAAGGTTTAAAATTCCAAGTCAAACAACAGGTAATCAATTTTTTTTTCTTTCAAAAATTGATTTTTTTTTTGTACACAGCAAATTTTAATGATGAAAATATGCAAAAATTTTATTTTATAACATTAGACTAAAAAAAAGAAACATTAAAATATGTTCCTAATTTTATTATAGTGACATATTTTTTTTTTCGAAAAATATTTATTCAAAGCAAATAAAATAGTATTCAAATTAAATAAATACGAAACTGATATAATGAAATAATATAACAAAAATAAATAGAGATTAGTAAATTTTTTTATTATAATCAATGAAGTAATGCTTACTTTTCCGATTAAGTTTTTAGTGAAGGTTAACTAATTTTTTGTAACAGGCATTATTTTAAAATATTGTTTTTGATTAATATTTACAAATTATAGAAGATTTTTCAATAATTAGTTAATACAAAGAAGATTGAAAATTATTTGTTATCAAAAAATGAAAATTGGTTGAGAACACTGGGAGAGGAGTGAGACAAACCAATCATTTTCCCAGTACCCCCACTTCTCATGCGGTGATTGGTATTCGTCTACCCCCACCACTCTTTACACAGTGGTTCTCACTATGATCAAAGGCTAAACTCATAATATCAATCTTAATTTAATTAAATATATAATATTTTTTGTTTTAATGATAACAATGATAAAAACTAATAATTTGGGTGTTAAAAAATAAAAATTTTTTTTTTTGTTAACAAAACGAGTTACAGAATTGTTTGAAATTTTCTGTTTAGGAATAATACTCTCAGGAAATGAGATATCACAAATTTTATCACTAGTTTTAACATATTATGGAGGATCAGGTCATCGGCCAAGATGGATAGCAGTTGGCGTTGCATTGAGTGGACTCTCATGTTTTGTATTGGCCCTTCCACATTTTATATATGGACCGGGTAAAGATGCATTGGCATTGACAAGTGAATATCTCGATCAAAATTTAATTAATTCAACATCAATTGACGATCTTCCAACTTGTTCGGGAGAAAAAAATCAACCACACTGCGATGAGGAATCATTGCAGGATATAAGCATTCTTCCAAGATTATTGGTATTTTTGTCACAATTTATTTTAGGAATTGGTACCACACTTTATTATGGCTTAGGACAAACTTATCTCGATGATAATACTCGAAAGAAAAATACTCCAATGCTATTAGGTACGTTAAAAAAAAAGTAATTAAAAAAAAATTCAATTTTTAAAAAATGCAGTTTTCCAATAAAAGTAAGAAAAATAAAATAATCAATTTCTTATATTCCTGGAATTGTGAGGAATTTGTTTATTATAATTTCTGTATATATACATTTCGTAATAAACGATGACCAACATATATGCGAGTGCATATATCGTTTAATTGAGTCCCAGTGTCAATGCCACGATATCAATGCGGGAATTTTATTTGCACACCTTGAAAACAGTTTGATTTAATCAAAATATTTTGTTACTACAAAAAAAAAAAAATTAAAAAACCACATTTATTTTTGAGATGATGTAAAAAAGGATAAAAAATGAGTAGTATATATTTTTTTATTAGGGTAATTTTAATTTCTTTTTGAATATACAATTCTTTTGTTGTTAATAATAAAAAATTATTGTGGCAATTCATCCCTTGGCATATATATATATATAGGTATTTATATGTTTTGTCTTATCTAACTTGATAAATGACCGATAAAAAGATTAATAATGTTAATTTCTTTTTTTAACTTGTTTACCTCTTTTTGTCTGCTACCTGAGATAATATCAAAAGTTACTGCAAATAGTTATTTATATTTATTCGTTTTCGATTTATTTTTTCTATTTTTTTCCAAAGAAAAAAAATTATTAATTCTCATAAAGAAATGTTTTTTTTTTTTTTTTTATCGAAATTAATAAGAAATCATTAAGAAATTATCAAAATAATTCAGTTCTTGTTTTTCTTTTCAATAGGAAATTTTGAAATATAAATTTCACATTAAACAATGTCAATATTTGATAAATATACGTAATTTTTAAGAAAAATTTTTTTTTATGTGAATATTGTATTTGTGATATAATGATAATATTATTTTAAATTCCGGTAAAAGTTTTGTACGATGTATATATATATATGAGGATAACTTTTTTTTTTCTTATTTTTTAATTACAGGATTCACATTTGCACTTCGAACACTTGGACCTGTTGTGGGATTCGTTTTAGGCTATGCTTGTTTAAGTTTATATATAAATCCTACTTTACATCCAGTAATTACTAAAGAAGATCCACGATGGTTGGGAGCATGGTGGCTTGGTTGGATAATTCTTGGAACGACTATGGCAATGTTTGCAGTTTTTATTGCCATGTTTCCTCGTCATTTGCCAAAATCAAATACATCTTCAAAGAAGGTAGTGTATGCTTTTTTTTTTTTGATTTTTTTTTTAAATATAGTTGTAAATATACAGAAAAAAATTAGACAAACAAAAAAAGGCTTTCATTAAAATGTTTCGAAGCTATTATATATTAATTTTAATAAAAAATCATTACCATTGTAACCGTTACTATGGTTACTGTTACTATAGGAACCGTTGATATGGTGACGGTTGCTGTAGAAACCGTTGCTGTGGTTACTGTTGCTATAGGAACCGTTACTTAGGTGACGGTTGCTACAGTAACTGTTGCTATAGGAACCGTTGCTATGGTTACTGTTGATATAGAAACCGTTGCTATGGTTACGGTTGCTGTAGGAACCGTTGCTATGGTTACTGCTACTGTTGGAACCGTTGCTATAGGAACCGTTACTATGGTGACGGTTGCTACAGTAATTGTTGCTATAGAAACCGTTGCTACGGTTACGGTTGCTGTAGGAACCGTTGCTATGGTTACGGTTGATATAGAAACCGTTGCTATGGTTACTGCTACTGTTGGAACCGTTGCTGTGGTTACTGTTGCTATAGGAACCGTTACTATGGTGACGGTTGCTACAGTAATTGTTGCTACAGAAACCGTTGCTACGGTTACGGTTGCTGTAGGAACCGCTGCTATGGTTTCGGTTGCTGTAGGAACCGTTGCTATGGTTACTGCTACTGTTGGAACCGTTGCTGTGGTTACTGTTGCTATAGGAACCGTTACTATGGTGACGGTTGCTACAGTAATTGTTGCTATAGAAACCGTTGCTGTGGTTACTGTTAATATAGAAACCGTTGCTGTGATTACTGTTAATATAGAAACCGTTGCTATGGTTACTGCTACTGTTGGAACCGTTGCTATAGGAATCGTTACTATGGTGACGGTTGCTACAGTAATTGTTGCTATAGAAACCGTTGCTACGGTTACGGTTGCTGTAGGAACCGTTGCTATGGTTACGGTTGATATAGAAACCGTTGCTATGGTTACGGTTGCTGTAGGAACCGTTGCTATGGTTACTGCTACTGTTGGAACCGTTGCTGTGGTTACTGTTGCTATAGGAACCGTTACTATGGTGACGGTTGCTACAGTAATTGTTGCTACAGAAACCGTTGCTACGGTTACGGTTGCTGTAGGAACCGCTGCTATGGTTTCGGTTGCTGTAGGAACCGTTGCTATGGTTACTGATATTGTTGGAACCGTCGCTATGGTTACGGTTGCCATAGTAACTATTACTATAGGAACCGTTGCTATGGATACTGCTACTGTTATTACCGTTGCTGTTTTTACGGTTACCATAGTAACTGTTGCTATAGGAACCGTTGCTAACACTGAAAAAAGGGTTTGATATTGACAACCAAACGTTTGGTTGGTATCTAAGCAACCAAATTTTTTTTATTGAATCAACAAAATTTTGGTTGTCCCAATCAAACTTTAGTTAAGACAACAAAAATCCTTTTTTTCTAATTTTGGTTGTGTCAAACAAATTTTGATTGAGACAATTAAAATTTTGGTGATTCAACAAAAAAATTTTGGTTGCTTAAATACCAACCAAACGTTTGGTTGTCAATACCAAAGCCTTTTTTCAGTGAAGGAAATCGTTGCTATGATTACTGCTACTGTTGGATCTGTTGCTATGGTTACGGTTGCTAATAGAAACCGTTGCTATTGTCACGGTTGCTGTAGAAATCGTTTCAAATGCTTACGGTTGCTATGGTTAAGGCAAAGAATTTTTTTTTTATAGTGCATATAAAAAGAAATTATTAATTTTTCTTTTACATAAATTAAAGCCACAAATTGGAGAAGAACCATTAAAACATGATTGCTCACCAAAAAAAATGGAGAAAATTAAAGAAAATTCAAATAAAAAAATAATAAATACAGAAATTGAATTTAAACCAACTGTAAGTGATTTCATGACATCAATGAAACGATTAATGCTGAATCCAATTTTAACTTGTAATAATTTAAGTGGAGTTTTTTATATTCTTGGTGCGTCAGCCTATATTACATTTATGTCGAAATATATGGAGGTTTTATTTGGTGTTTCAGCTGCAGGTAGTTCAATGATAACAGGTATGATAAAAATAGTTAAAAAAAAATAGACAAATTTTTATATAGTTTCTCAGATAAAAATAATTTTCTATTTTCTAGGACCCATCACATTAATTGGAATGGTATTAGGTTTTTTGGTATCGGGAATTGTTATTAGTAAATATAAACCGGGACCACGAATTTTACTTGGTTGGAATGTTATTATTGGTTTATCGTATATTTTAGGACAAATAGCATTTTTATTTTTAAGCTGTCCTGGTACACAAATACAAGGAATTGATCCAAATTCAATGCAGTGAGAATTTTTTTTATTTTTGCTTCTTTCTTGCTTTTCAATTTTATAAGAATTTTTTGGGGGGTTTTTTTTAGGATAAATCTCAACTTTCCATGCAATGCTGATTGTTCTTGTGATAATGTGAAATATTCACCAGTTTGTTATGAGCCAACAATGACAACATTTTTCTCAGCATGTCATGCGGGTTGTAAAAAAGTACTTTCAAATGGTGAATATGGAAATTGTAGTTGTACACAAAATCAAATGAATATTCAACATTCATATTATGAATTAAATGCAAATATATCATCATTGACTGAAGATGGATATTTGACGACAAATATTTTTGATATTGTTAAAGCTGGTGCATGTAAAAATGATTGTAAAAAACCCTATTTAATATTGACAATTATAATGTGTCTTATTCAATTGTTGACATGTTCGGGAAAAATTGGCAATGTTTTAGTTAATTATCGAAGTGTTGAAGATCGAGATAAAGCATTTGCTCAAGGAATAACATTAATGTTGATCTCACTTCTTGCACTTATTCCAGGACCCATTATCTATGGGGCACTTATAGATTCCACTTGTCTTGTGTGGGACGAGGCTTGTGGTATGAAGGGAAACTGTTGGGTTTATGACCCAGATAAGTTTCGTAACTATATTAACAGCACGGCAATATGTGAGTTTTTTGATTTAAAAAAAAAAAATAATTTTTGATTAGCTTCTTTCTTTAAAATTATTCTATGTTAAATTATAATCTGAAATAAAAATTTTTTTGAATTATTTCAGGTTTTACGATAATTGGCGTTATATTTGACATTGGAGTTTGGTACCTTGGCAAAAATGTCGATTTGTATGGAGCAAATGACGATATGAGACATGATTTTGTCAAATCATTAACAGTAGAGCAAACAAATAATGCAGAAAAACATGAAAATAAAAATTCAACTTAAATTTTCTATTTCAAAATTCAGTTTTATCACACTTGATAAAATTTTCACTTATCAAATGCATTAAAAAGTATTTTAATTTTAATGATTTCTAAATAGAAATTTAATGACTATAGAATATCAATATGTGATAAAATATATTTTGTAGAAATTTTTTTTTTAAATATTGAATTTTCTATATGTCGTTTAATATATAATATTAATATTTAAAATGAAACGATTGTAAATAATAAATTTACAAGATATATTTTAATTTATATTATAGAAGAAAATAATATTGAAAAATAATTTTTAAATAAGAGATATTTTATAATTCAATTTTGCGAATTTTTATTCGCATTGTGATAGTTTATTTTCGTGATATTCTATTTTGATAATTCCAAGTATAATTGTTCAAAGTTGTTTATCAAAGTATGTAATAAAATGTTATTTATCGACAAAAAAAAAGAATTGTTTTATTTGAAAGATTTAAATTTTTCAGTTTGTTATCTACGAACAAAATTTTCTACTTTATCGACTATTATAATCATCTGTCGATAAGATAGTTTGTCATAATTGAATATTTCTAAATCAGATAGCTGAAAGAGAATTAAATATTTGTCGAAATTGCTTTTCTTTAAGAAAATAAGAAAAATAAATCTTAATCATTGAGACGTTACTAATAAAATTGGAACTTAGCGCATTTCTGTAATTTTTCCACTGACAGTAATATTTCACTAAAAAAATAGAATTCTAATTCAGTCAAATCTGTTTTACCGATTAATGATAATGCAGATTTAAATTAGTAATCAACTTATTTTCAGCGAAATGTGACTGAATTTCCGCATTGAAAAATTTACTGAAATTTTCTAAATTTCTATTAATGATTTGATTCAGATTTAGAGGGTTTATTTACGTTTTTATTGAATGATTTTTATAGAACTAATTTGATTTTAAATTATGTTAAATGTATATAAAATGACACACGTTGACCGTGACCTAGTTGTTGAAATCAAATTAAATTCAAAATTTTAACTCATATTTTTTTAATTTATGTTGTTTTTTGAAAAATAAAAAAATTGACTGAAAAAAAAATATATAATATATATGGTGATAAGTGGTATCAAAAGCACGTTCTAAGAAAAGAAAAACGTCGAACTAGCCTAGACTATAATGATTCTAATCTCACTCGTCCGGCCTTGATTCTTCTACCACTATATGAATGCTGTAATTTAAACTCGCAAGTGGGTGGTTGCAACTGCAATTTGCGATTCGTTTGCAAAATTTCATGATCTCTCAACTACGTGTACACCTATTTTTTTTCAGCATATTTCCCTATTGTACATTGTTATACACGATCTTTTTATAAAATGGTTCATTTCGTTTTGTTTTATAGTTTAAGAGTTACATAATAAGTCCACTTTTTGCTAATTTCTTTAAGAATTTTTTTTTGAAAATCAAAGGGAAACGAATTTATAAGAATTAATTTCATACTAAATCATATTAATAAAAAAAAAATTAATTAAAATTGAAAATTAATTTTGAATGTAATTTTTAATGTTAATTAATTTTTTTTTTAATAATTTTTTTATATATTTACAAAATATTTTCATTTAAAATTCGTTCTAATGTCAAAAAAAAAAAAAGAAAGTCACGTTTCCAACTTGTTTTGTATTTTGACTTCTGGTATTTAATTAACGTAATTGAAATATTTAATCTTATGTGCAATTCGTTTGAATTTACGACCCTTATCACACAGGAAACTGATCCTCCTTAAAACTCTTTTCAAATAAATACATAAAAGAATTGCAAATCACGATGTTCATCAATTTTATTTATTTCCTGTTTATCGAAAAATGTTCTCTCTTTTTTTCCCTATTGAAAAACTCTGACGTTTAAAATTTTGTTTTAAAAAAGAAATTTTTTTTTATATTTTTATCTTTTCAAAAAATGTTTTTTTCTTAATTTTTTTTTTCAAAATCAATTTTCCCCAGTTTTTTTTTTGAAATTTAGTTATTTTTTTTTTGTTTTATATTGTAAAAAATTAGTAAGATCTGTAGCAATAAGCTCTTCTTCTTCTCATACACGTGGCTTCATAATGTATGACAATTTGACGTATGTATACGCTACCGCGCTATTGTCGATGTGTGTTGTAGATTAAGGGTAACAAATTATCTTTATTATACCTGTTGCTCAATCCAAATATAATGACAAGCAAATTATATTTTAAAACATATATATATAAATATCTTTAGACTTGATTTAAAACTACAAACTCAATATTTCTTTTTCTCTTCTTTATTTTGTGATACTAAAAAAAAAAATGTTTGCTATAAGAAAAAATTACATTACCCAATGGTAATCCTACCTAAAAATACATTACAAATAAAAAAAGATTTTCTTTTTTAAAATTTTAAAATGATTTTTCAAATTCTAAAACAGGTTTTCATTTCTTATGATAACAAAAAATTTTAATATAATTTTAATAAAAAAAATTTTTGAAACCAAATAATTTTATCACTTCTTTCATCTTATCAAATCTCTTTTTATTTTTTTTTTTTTGAACTGATGTAAGTAATCGTGAAATAGATCGACAAACTGTCGCATCGAAGATTTCCTCTGGGTCTCTAGAGCGTCTTCAAATGATGAAAAGTGGGGACAAGAAATCACCTCGCTTCTGAATACAACTTGTCAAAAGCCAAGAGTTGAATTCAGTTAGGAATGAATATCTAACGTTTTCGGACGCGAATTCATTTTTCCATATAATCAAAACGGTCATCATCATCGCATTGACTCTTTCCCACCTCCTTCCTCCCTCCAACCCTTTCTTAATTCACAAAAATGATATCTCTTTGTAATAATGAATAATACAATTGAAATTTTCATTTATTTTTAATAGAAAATACTTTTCAAAAAAAAAAAATTTATTTTCAAATATGGATTTAGAAATTTTTTTTTTTTTTTTTTGAAAAAATAAAAAAGAAAGATGTTGAACGTAAAAAGAATTGAAAGAATAAAAAATATTTATTATAAATTGTGAAAATTAGATTTCAAAAAAAAAAAAAAAGTGACGAGAAAGAATAAAAAAAACACGGGGGGGATAAAATGAAGAATTCGAAAGATTTAAATAATACAAATTGTGAAAAAATACGCGAGGAAAATGCAAAACTTCTTAAAATTCCAACGACACCGACAAAAATACCAAGAACACCATCGCAAGAACTCGATGAACTTTTTAAAGATTTACCATTAACAGAAGAAACAAGCTGTGGAATTGGTTGTTTTCGTGGACCATTTTTACAAAAATTTGCTAATAAAAAAGCATACGTTTTTCTTTATGGAGTATTAGGATGTATATTTGGCGCAAGTTATGCATATTTTAATGGTACAATAACAACAATAGAGAAAAGATTTAAGATACCATCGAAAACAACGGGTAATTTTGTAAAATTTGAAATTTTATCATTTTTTTTTTTTACAAAAATATATTAGAATTTTTTCTGTGTTTAATTTTTATTTTCGAAAAAAAGTGAAATTTAACATAATTGAGTTCCTTTTTTTTTTTTTTTGCTAAGAAAAAGTGTATTTTTTATTTAGGTATCATCACTGTGGGAAATGATATTTCTCAACTTTTTGTATCTGTGGTATTGTCATATTATGCAGGAAAAGGACACAGACCAAGATGGATTGCCATAGGGATTTATACGGTGAGAATTTAAAAAATGTTTCAACCATTGAGAAAAAATTTATTCTCAATATAAGACAATTTCAATTATTTTATATTGCATTTTTTTTTATTACAATATTATGCTCACAAATTATTTTAAATTTAATTCCTCTAATTCATTTTTTAATTTAATTTGTAATTTGAATAATTAAATAAAATTTCTAATTTTAAATACAAAAAGAAATTATTCTCATTTATGGAATAATTTAAAATAAAGAAAATAGTTTTAAAAAATTGAATAAAGAAAAAGATAATTTGTTACAATTTTAGAATTATTTTTTTTTTATTCTATTTTTCGTACAGTAAAAATTTTCCAACTAATTTAAATTTAATTAATTTACTTTTAAACTTTTTTTTTTTTGGTAATTATTTAAAGCCTCGTGGTTTTTATGATGTAATTATATCAAATTTACAATTTTTTTTCGAAATAAGTAAAATTTTACTTATTTGTATTTTAGAGCGTTTTCTTTTTTTAAAGAAAAAATTAAATAACTAAGAAATTAAAAAAAAAAATGAAAAAATAGAACTATAAATAAAGGAAAAAATCTCTAGTGTAACGTTTGATAAATATTTTATTCACCTCATTATTAGACAAACAAGAGAATAATAAAATTCTTTTTATCTAAATACTTGATGTGACAATATATTTGTACTAAGATATAAAAAAAAAGTAATTCCATTTTTTCTAATTATATCATTCTATGAAAACCATAAATCTTAGTTGCAATACAAAACAAAAGTTACAAAACTTATCCTCACAATTTTGAGAGTATTAGGAATTTAATGTTAAACTAAAAAAAAAAAAAATAGAAAAAGATAATTTTTATCTAATTTGAGATTTTTCTATTAACATGTCAAAAAGAAAAGAAATTTATTTTTTTTTAAATTTTGTTGTTTTATATATAAAATTTTCTTGTTTTCTCATATATATATATATATATACATTGTAAGTTGAAAGATATATGAATGAAAGCATATTCGTTTGCGACATGAAATGACGAAATCCATCCATATAGTAGTCACTTGCAATATACACCGATGGCTTAATTAAATTACGAGACACTGGAATCGCATCCACGTTCATTCACTAAAACTTACAATATATATATATATATCAATATTTATTTTGTTTATTAAAATTTTTTTTTCATATTATAATAAATAAGTGAATCTTCAAAAAAAATTGAATTTATTTCAATGAATAACGAATATCATTTCCCCCTAAAAAATTAATGTTAAAAAATTATCAAGTTAATAATTTTTTTATAATCATAATAATAGTGATAATAATAGTAATAATAATAATAATAACAGTAATGATAATAGTAATAAATAATAAAAATAATAGTAATAATAATAGGTTTTTGAAACTGTTGCTATAGTGATGGTTGCTATAGTAACTATTGCTAAGGAAACCGTTGCTATGGTTACGGTTGCTATAGGAACCGTTGCTATGGCTTCCGTTGTCATGGTAACCGTTGCTATAGTTACCATTGCTATGGGAACGGTTGCTATAGTAACTGTAATGAATTAATTTTTAAATTTTAAATTTATCTAATTTTTTTAATATAAAAAAAAAAAAATGTTGAAAAATTATAAATTCTTTTGCAAAAAAATTAAATTTACTTTATATATATATTATAAAAAAAAAAGTCAATTAATTATCATTTAAGTGAATTTTAATTCTATCCGCAGACGTTTGCGCAATTTTGTAAACAATAAATGTGTTATCAATGCTCTCTATATACCTGTGATGCGTTCAATAAATAATTTTTCCATTTTTTTTTTATTTATTACTACTCCTATTAATTATAAAGGGAAAAACGATAAAAAAATTTTTTAAACATCAGCAAAAACAAATCAGATTATCATTAGACAAGATAAGCTTCGATAAATATCTCAATACTATATAATAATAATAATAATTAAAGCCTTTAAAGTTGCACTTTTATTCAGAGCATTTTTTTATTTACTCATTTTGAACTTATAAAAAGTTCCATTTTATAAAACTAAAATAACTTACTAACTAATAATAATAATAATAATAATAATAATAATAATAAAATAATAAGAATAATAATAATTATTATTATATAATAATAATAATGTAAATATTAATTTAAAAAAAAACAATTATAATTAAAAAACAAAAAATTGTTCTCTCTCTATTTTTGTAGGTGGTTTTATTTTGTTGTTTAACAATGCTTCCACATTTTCTTTATGGTCCAGGAAAAGATGCATTAATGTTAACAAAAGAATATGGTATTGCCGAACAAAATATAACAAATGAAAGTCTATTAAAAATGAAGGAGGGAAAATTTCTTTGTCAAAATAAAGAGAGAAACGATAGTTGTACAGAGGAAGATGGAAATTTTACACCACAAATTATACTTTTTTTAGCACAAGCAATATCGGGCGTTGGTGGTTCATTATATTATACATTAGGCGTATCATATATGGATGATAATATACAAAAATCAAAAACACCAGCACTTATTAGCTTTTCTTATTTTATAAGAATGTTGGGTCCTGCAATTGGTTATGGTTTAGCGTCATTTTCACTTAAATTTTATATTAGTCCAACATTAACACCAACAATTACAACACAAGATCCAAGGTAATTTGAAGAAACAAAAAAGAAAACATTTTTTTAAAAAATAATTTTCAGAAAATAAAAAAAACAGAAAGAAAAAAAAAACAGAAAATAAGAAAGGTATTTTCAACATTTTTTGGTTTTACTAACAAATTTTTTTTCTATAATATTAGTTCGGAAATTATTTTCACCGAACTAATTTTAGTTTTTTTTTTTTGGAAATTTTTTTCCAATTATATTATTGAGATATATACGATATATAGAGAGGGTCAATGATATATAATATAAATTAATAAAAAATCAACGTATTTGAGTGCATGAGATTATTATATTGTTCTATTGATAAGAAATAATTGTTTGTGATTACTTACAAATTATTAATAGCCTTATTTTTATCTCAATAAATCAGATTTTATAGTATATATCTTCACGTACATTGAAAAATATTGTATATTATAAAAAAAAATTTAGAATTTTTGTTAAAAATCATTATAATAAAATTTTGTTTCTTTTTTTTTTCATTTACCGTTTCCATAGCCACTGTTACTATAGCAACTGCTTCAATAGCAATGGTTGCTATAGTAACCAATGGTATAGTAACCGGTGCTATGGTAACAATTGCTAAGGAAACCGTTGCTATAGGCACGGTTGCTATGGTAACAGTTGCTATGGAAACCGTTGTTATGGAAGCGGTTAATATAGTGCCGTTGCTATAGGCACGGTTGCTTAGGAAACCGTTGCTATGGAAACGGTTGTCATGGAAACGGTTACTATAGAAACGGTTACCATAAAGCCGTTGCTATAGGCACGGTTAATTAGGAAACCGTTGCTATGATAACAGTTGCTAAGGAAAAAGTTACTATGGACACAGTTGCTGTATTATAATCGTTGCTATGGAAACGGTTGCTAAGGAAACCGTTACTATGGAAACAGTTGCTGTAGTATAATCGTTGCTATGGAAACGGTTGCTAAGGAAACCGTTACTATGGAAACAGTTGGTGTAGTATAATCGTTGCTATGGAAACGGTTGCTAAGGAAACCGTTACTATGGAAACAGTTGCTGTAGTATAATCGTTGCTATGGAAACGGTTGCTATAGGCACGGTTGCTATGGTAACAGTTGCTAAGGAAACCGTTGTTATGGAAACGGTTACTATAAAGCCGTTGCTATGGAAACGGTTGCTAAGGAAACCGTTACTATGGAAACAGTTGCTGTAGTATAATCGTTGCTATGGAAACGGTTGCTAAGGAAACCGTTACTATGGAAACAGTTGCTGTAGTATAATCGTTGCTATGGAAACGGTTGCTAAGGAAACCGTTGCTATAGGCACGGTTTCTATGGTAACAGTTGCTAAGGAAACCGTTGTTATGGAAACGGTTACTATAGTGCCGTTGCTATAGGCACGGTTGCTTAGGAAACCGTTGCTATGGACACGGTTGCTATGGTAACAGTTGCTAAGGAAACCGTTGCTATGGAAGCGGTTGCTATAGTACCGTTGCTATAGTAACAGTTACTTAGGAAACTGTTAATATGGAAACGGTTACTATGGAAGCAGTTGCTACAGAAACGGTTGGCATGGAAACGGTTGCTATGATATCTTATTATTATTTTGTTTTTCTTATTATTATTCTTAATTTTTATTAATATTCTTATTACTTTTGCAGATGGCTCGGTGCATGGTGGTTGGGTTGGATAATTTTGGCAATTTTACTTTTTCTTTTTGCAAGTATTGTTGCCCTATTTCCAAAAACATTACCACGTGCAGCGGCTAGAAAAGTACTTGCTCAACAAAAAATAAAATTGGCTTCAAATTTAAAAAATAATGATGATGATGATGATGATGATAATGAACAAGAATTACCATCAATTAACGATATGATACAAACATTTAAACGTCTCTTAACAAATAATTCATTTATGTGTAATAATTTTGCGTCTGTATTTTATTTTATGGGCTATATGCCATATTGGATATTTATGCCAAAATATATTGAAACACAATATAAACAATCGGCATCTGTATCATCGTTAATAACAGGAACAGTTGGTCTTGTATTTAGTGCATTTGGAATACTTTTATCGGGTCTTATGATATCGAAATATAAACCAAAAGCAAGATATTTAGCTGCATGGAATGTAATGATTGGAATAATATCTGTTTTGGGAATGATATCATATGCATTTTTAGGATGTTCAGCAAATGATAATCAAGTTGCATTACAATCGAATGGTTCATTGAAAACAATTCTTCCATGCAATGAAGATTGTCATTGTGATTATGTTACATTTAATCCTGTTTGCACACAAGCTGGACAGACATTTATTTCTGCTTGTCACGCTGGTTGTACAACTGTTGAGGTTTGTATGAATTTTTATTTGTAAATTCATTTTTTTTTTAAGACACTGCTTTTTTTTCTATTGAAGATAAGGAAATTATATAATTTTTCAAATTTACTGATATCGTTTGGGGAAAGCCGGAATTTTTTTTTATCTACAAGATAAATATAGTAACGTTTATTTATAAAAGTAAAATTTACTGTTTTAATTAATAAAATAATGAAACATAAAAAAATTAACAAAAAAATAATATAAATAATAATTAGAAATGAATTTTAAAAAGTCACTATTTTTTACGCTCTAAAACAAAAAACGATTTTTATAATTGAAATTCTTTTTTTTTAACTAAATTTTTGTATTTATATGAGCAAAGGAAACATTTCTCTGATTGGTATAATGTACCGACTTTAACAGAGAGTCACTTCCTACCATATGAGTTCTTATAACCTTTTGTAGTTATTCGCAATTACTGCATCAGGCTAATTATTCTAAATGAGTTCTTATTGTGACCAGTTATCGAGTGATCTAAATATTTTATATGTGTCAACAATATTTAATGGTTACATCCCTTTGTCGATAATTTGAAGATTTGTCAAGGGCAAAAATTTATTTTCTGATGAAAAAAATATTGGTCAGTTAGATAATGAGACAATTATCTCGTTGAGGCAATATTTATTTTTTTAAGTAGTAAAAGTCATTTAATGAAATTTAATGTATTTTTAAGAAATAGTTGTAGTTGTCTGTCGGAGTGAAAAAAATTCAATATTTTTAAAAGGAAATCCCCAGTTATGATGAGAAAAAAATTTATACGTTTCAGTAAATAAAGTTGAGATCATTTATATTTTAAACAAAAAAAAAAAACACTTTTCCGAACTAAAATTTTGTTTTGTTATAAAAAAATTGATTCATTCGTAAAAGTATAATGTAACACTTTTTTGTATAAACAAATTGAATTTTCAAAAGAAATAATTGTATTATTAAAGTACGTATAATGTTGAAGTAGAAAAACCTTTCATTATCAGACAAAATTGAATTTTTAATATGAAAAGTTGTCTTACTATTAAAAGCAGATTTTTGAGTAGATAAAACCTTTTTTGTAAGACAAAAATTATGTTACAGTAGAAAAAGTAGTTTTTGTCAAGACAACATTTATTTTTAAGTAGAAAAATCCTTCTTCGTCAGACCAAATTAAATTTCGAGTAGGAAATTTTTTTTTTAATTTCGAAAGCAGATTTTTTAGTATGAAAAGTCTGTCATAGTCAGACGAAATAAGTAGATAAAGTAGTTTTTGGTTTGACAACTTCCGGTTTCAAGTAGAAAAAACTTTCTATGTCGGACCAAATTGAATTTTCAGTAGGAAAATTCTGTTTTTGTAAGTCAAAATTTACGTATCAGTAGAAAAAGTGATTTTTGACGAGACAACTTTTTTTTTGAAGTAGAAAAAATTTTCTTTCTCAGACAATTTCATTATTTATTAATTATTATTTATTCAAAAAAAAAAAGAAAAAAATGAAAATATTTTCAATTTTTCTTCCATTTTATTTTTTCCTAGTTACATGAGGATGGAAGGAAAATTTATACAGATTGCAGTTGTGCAATGCCAAGACAATCACGAATCGAGTCAAATATTTTTCTAAACAACACAACAACATTCACTCAAGAACCATCTGAGATTTGGAGTGAATCTGAAATTTTTGGTTCAGCTATTCCCGGCTCCTGTCCAGTTGATTGTCAGGAGAAGTTCTACATTTTCCTCGCAGTTGTTTGTTTGTTGAAGTTTAGCGGCGCCACCGGAAGAGCGTCTAACTTTCTCGTTTCCGTGAGATGTGTCGAGGAAAAGGACAAAACTGTGGCTATGGGCTTTGGACTGATGATTATGAGTCTCTTTGCATTCATACCGTCACCTATTCTTTTCGGCTATATTTTAGGTAAATCAAAGGAAAAAAAACGATACAAAAAATATTTTTATTTCAATCAAAAATATTTTTATTTCAATTATAAAAATATTTTTAATTTTTTCTAAATTGCAGATAAAACTTGTCTCGTGTGGGGTAAAACGTGCAATGGAACTGGAAACTGTTGGCTTTATAATGGAGAAGTTTTGAGATATTTAATGAATTTTACAGCTGCCGGTATTTGTATAATAATTATTTTGTTGTTGTTATTATTATTAGTATATTTAATTTAAATAAAAATGATTTATTCTCACAGGTTTCGTAACAATCGGTACATTCTGTGATGTAGGAGTTTGGTACTATGTTAAAAATGTAAAAATATTCGATGAGGAGGCAAAATTAGATGACATCAATGAGGATCCAGGAGAGCTTTAAAGTCTGAATTAGTCGTGAAAAAATTCAGCCAGCCAGCCAAAAAGACCTGCTTAATCAATTTTAAAAATTACTTTTTCAAAAAAAAAAGACGAAAATAATACAAAAAAAACAATTTAAAGTGCCTTAGGAACAAATTAATATAAATTAATTAACATTATATTTATTATAATTTCTGTTTTTTTTTCATCAAAATTTACATATGGAAATTATTTTCATCATTGTGGATTAGAAAAAAAAGGACTTGATTGTTGAAAATTATGAAATAAAAAAAAAATTGCTTGCTTTAAACGTCGAATTTTTATTATTAATAAATATATGTAGTTTTATTATATATTTTGAAAAATGCCAAATGGCTGAAGAATTTATTGTGATTGTATAAATAAAAATACAAATTATAATTCTTGATATAAATTATCATATATGATTCCTACATTATCTACAAACAGTATCTGAATTATTAATATTTGAAAATTTCCTCACTTTATTGGAAAAATTATTATATTAAATCATTGCAACATTTTCTTTTTTTCAATAAAATAAAATGTATTTTTTATTTTCATTATTCACATAAAAATATTTATAGTTAATTAATAAAAAGATAAAAAATATCTGGCAGCACTAGAAATTTTTTTTATAATATTTAAATGAAAATAATGAATGAAAATTAGATGTATTTTTTTTGAATAATTAATTTCCCTATTGTTTAAACATTAAATATATAATGTTTCTATGGATACAGTAAAAAATAATTTAAAAATGCATTTTTAACTGTAAAAAAATCCTATTTATTAACTAATAATAAAAAATGTGTTCTGTTTTATTTTGTACTTCCTACGCATTTCATGAATTAAAGTTTCTTTGGTTATTTATAAAAAAAAAAGAAAAATATTTTTCATACTGAAAATTCACAAACTATCCTAGTAGAAAATAGAATATATTTTATATTTTTATAAAATTCGCGTAAAAATTTCATATATATAAAAATGTTTTCAATCCAATATATTATCGGAAATTGATAATATATTATTTTTAAGCTACTTCCACAATAGCTAAATCGCATCGAGACGATGCGCGCGCTCATCCATTGCCAACTGTCGATAATAGTGGAATAGGTAAAATAAATTTTTTATCGACAGTTGGTAATGAATGCGCTCGCATCATCTAAAAATTTTTTTCGTTCATGATTTAGCTATTTTGGAACTATTTCAGCGAAACAGTAAAAAAATTAGGTTATGTTCGTGATTTTCGAATTAAAAATAAAATAGCAGAAAATCTTTATAAATCTGTGCAAGCGAATGATGATGTTTTGAAATTTTTACTCGTTAAATTATCCCTAGATGTGGAATTCAATTCCTGTAATTGTGGAGTTATTCTTTCTCTAACATCAGGTAAACTTCCAAATCCAGATGATTCTTGACCACCAGAAGGTGGTCTTATTGAAAGTGGTTGATCATTTACATCCGATTGTGATTTAAATCTTCCATCCTCCATTGTTTTGAATAATGTTCTCACAGTATCCAATCTATCTTGACTAGCTTTTTTCTCATATTGCGGTGAGAGCATTCTCTCCTCTAAAACCTCCTTAGACGATCTTAAATCCTTTGCCTGTTGAACAATGGGCTCAACAATTGGAATTCCAATTTCATTAAAATCACCCGTTTTTCTCCAAGGTTTCTCAAATGGACTCGTTGCTCTCGAACGTCTTGGATCTTCATAATGATCCGGATTTGGAAATCTACGTGCGCCTGATTCAATTGGAGACAATTTACTCTGTGGAATTGTTTTAGGAATTGTTTCCGTTGCATCGTGATCTGAATCAAAATCAAGGGGTTTGTAGGCAACTTTAGGACTTGCTTTCTTCAGAGGTAGACTACCATCGTCACTCGATGTATCCAATTCATTATCAGTGTCATAGTCTTCGGATTTTACTTCAGTTATAACATTTCTATCTTGAGTTCTTCGATCTCCAGGTCCAAGGGGACCGTATTTCAAAGGTCCATTGTTCTTTTGATGATCGTCTTCGATTTTTTTCGGTAGTACCTGAACAGCACCTGGTGGTAATGATCTTCTCTCTTGTACATCACTGGGACCTGCTTCTACTTTAAAAAATAAAAATTCGTTATTAAAAATTAACAAGTACTTAGAAATTAAAATTTACCTTCAACTTCTGCGGCTGGAATTTCCTCAATCAATAACGGTTCTCTTTGCATTCTATTTATCTCCTCTAATTCCCTACCCGGTTCCTCTTCAACAATTGGTGTATCGTAAAGATTTAAATTTTCACAGAACCACCAAACCATGATTCTAATTATTGCGCTGATCGCTAAAAACAAAATTGTCGCATAACACAAATAATCACCAAGATTTTTTGAATTATGCAAACGACAAATATTCGACTCAGCCGAACCCCAATAAACACAAGTGGTGTCGGCAATTTTTTGATAAATCAATTTTCCCGGTACATGAATGAATGCAGCGACCAATGTCATCCAAAAACCAATTGAAAGTGCTTTATCTTGAACGTAGACGGATCTTAAATTTATTAGTAAATCTCCAACGATTATTGATGCCAAAAGAGAATAGGCAACAATAGTAACAGCCTGTTGTGAAAAAAATATTAGGTATTTATTTTGAAAATCGAAAAATACGGACCGTAAATAAAAAAAAAAATAATTTTGATAATTGAAAATAATTAAAATTTGCTTTTTATCATCATACCTCAAAAATAAGCCAACCAAATTGACAATTTTTATATTCACAAGAGCCATCCCGTGCTCTGGCATCAGTCAATCCAGCCGACAAAAGGCACTTGCAGCCAGTGTATATTTTTTCATCATCTATATAATCAGATTGAGTGCAGCCAGCATGACAGGGACTGTAGTATGTATATTTCCCACTGCTGTCACATACTGGTCTAAAGTTAGCATCGCGTGAACACTGACAATCATAATTGCAATGTCTCGATAAAGAAAACCTATATATATATAATTTTCGTAATTTATTAAATTCAGCGTTTTATTGATCAAATAGAAAAAAATTATATTTTCAATTAAAATAGATTAAAAAAACAAAACGATCGACTAAAAACGAAAAAATTTTATATTTATTCATTATGTTGAATTTGTTTTTTTATTTAATTATTTTTGTGTTTGGTTTTTTTTATTTATATTTTTATTTAAACACTCGTACGGTTGCCATGGTAACAGTTACGATAGGAACCGTTTCCATGACAACAGTTACCATAGAAACCATTTCCATAGCAACCGTTTCTTTTTCCTTAGCAACGGTTACTAAGGATTTTTTCTTAACGGTACTTAACGGTACTTAATACTTAACGGTATTATTAGTATTGTCCACTATAAATTATTTAATTTTTTTGTTTGTTGTTTTTAATTGATTTTTATAATTTTTATTATTTTATTAATTTAATACTTTTTATTTTTAAACTACTTTTATTTTCATTTATTTTTTATTTTGTGCTTCAGTTTTTTATTTTTTGAATGTTTTTTCTTAGGGGAGAGTCAGTACTAGTCGGGCCAGTACTTCGTTAAAAGCCCTTTCACATTGGCGCCATCTACCTTTGCATGCAAATACTTACTAGCGTTAGTAATAAACTTTTAACGTCACTTTTAGTAACTCTCAGTGAAATGCGCAATTCGTACAGATGTGTTTTGTAAAAGTGCACTAAAGATTAAAAGGAAAACTTGTTTGTGGTGTCCGAAAAAATGAATTGAACAAAAGAAGAAGATGCAAACAATAAAGTAAGTTGACTAAGTTTTGTTGTTCGTTTGAGTGTTCTTTGAAAATGTGGTGCCTTATTTGATGTTTGTATCATGCGTTTTTTTGTCTGGTGCAATAAAAAAGTAAAACAACGTGATAGTGATGGTTGGGCCAATAAATGTTGTGTTAGTTGGGCCACTTAAAATTTTGCAATTATGATACGTTCTGACATTATAAATTTATTTTTCCACGTAGCGATGTGTCAAAAACGTCGTTTACCGGTGGAAAAAAAAGATTTACGTTTTAGAACCTAAAACGATTTATAACGTCTTATGTCGAGTCTACTGCAATGACGCATTAAAAACGTTTCGTGTTCTGAAAACGTTTTGGGGGCGTTCATTAATTTAAATCAGATTTTTTTTTAAATTTGTATCCCCTCCCGTTTTGTGAGATTTTTGGGAACCGTAACGACAAAATTTATTTTTTTGAAATGCCTATAACTTTTACACTTTTGGTCCAATCATTTTCTGTTGTTCAGAGAAAATGTTGCACTTGAAAAGATCTTTCCAATCATACGTGAGAAAATCCGAAATTTGGTTTAGAACGGAAGTTATGGCCACAAATCAAAACATGGCCCAACCGGACAGACTCTTCACTATTTTTGTCAAATTTTGTTATTTTTAATATTCTTTTCATCTTTTTGTCAAATTTTGATATTTATAATTTATTTTTGTATTATTTTTTTGTTTCTTTTTGTCAAATTTTGTGATTTTTAATTTTTTTTTTTAATTATTTTTTTTGTTTCTTTTTGTCAAATTTTGTTATTTTTAATATTTATTTTTATAGTATTTTTTCTGTATTTCTATCAGTTTTTTAATTTATTTTTGCTTTTGTCAATTATTTTTTAATTTTTTTACCGTCTTTTTATTATTTTATTTTTTTTATATCATTTTTAGTCAAAAAAAAAAAAAATTATATTTTTAGTACAAAAATAATTAAATTTTTAGTAAAAAAATAAAAAAAATAATTACAAAAATTAATAGAAAATAAACTTACATTCCATTTATATTTTCGCCAACTATTGGTTTCTTGTCACAGGCAACAAATGTAAGAGAAAAAAGTATAATTCCCGTTACGATAGTGATTACTATACTATAAATAGCAAGTGTCCTGGCTGTGGGTTTTACTCTTGCGATTAACAAGCCCGATACTATCACAACTAAACCAATCACGACTGGTTTTAGAAATGCTGTAAAGTACATTTAAAAAAAATTATAATTTTTATTCGAAAACTTCAAGTTAAATTTTTAAAATCCTTAGGGAATTTTGAATTGATTTTTAAAATAATTTTTAAATAATGAAATAATTTTTAAATAATGAAATAATTTTTAAATAATGAAATAATTTTTAAATAAGTTTGAATTAATTTTTTAATTAATTTTTGAAACATACTTGTAGCAATTCTTGAGGTGAGAGGATCATTGAATCCTAGAAGTAAACCAGTAGGCCTGGGCGCATAAAAACGAGACTCAAGGAATATGTTTTCGTTTGCTATGAAATTAACAATGGCCATGGCACAGAAAGCCGCTGCAAAAACATTAGAGATCAGAATTTTATTAGTAACCAGTCTCAATATCGAAGGTAGAAAACGAGTACTGCCGACTTTTTTAAAGGTCATTTGTGAAGTTCGTGCCGTTCCACTTGCTTCATCCAATATTGTTGCCGCTGCTTGCTGCACCATCTTTAACAAGTTCAAGTTTATTTGCAATTACGACACATTCCATTATTTTTAATGTAAATTTTTTCCTAAATTTTTATATTAATAATTTTTAATAATTAATATTAATAATCCTTTTTATCAAAATTTTTTTCTATACCTCCGATGGTAATCTTCTAGGAAACCATGATAAAAAAATAGCTCCTATTAATATAAGAACTGTCAATATTGGCCAACCAAGCCACCATGCTCCAATTTGTTCTGTATATGTCTGTACAATTTCCAAATTTTTCGAATCTATTCTACAAAAAAAAAAATATTTATATGATTTTTATGTTCCAGACCGCCTAAAAAATTTTTTTTTTTTAAAATCGAAAAAAATGAGAACCCCCCTATATTTTTAAGGGGTTCCGGAACATAAAAATTACCCTCTTAATTTTCAAATTGTTTTGATTTATAAAAAAAAAAAAAATTTATTTTTGTGATGAATTATTTTTACCTCAAACATGACCATGCGAGAATATAACCAAATAATGTGCCAATAATTTTGATAGCAACAATTATTCCAAGAAATGATGAGATATGTATTTTTTTTGTATTATCATCTAAATAAGAAATTCCAAATGCATAATAACCAATGTTTGCAACGCCATTGAGAATTTGAACGAAAATTTGAATGGGTATCACTCCATTTTGTATTTGTTCGTCTTCAAATATAATTCGTGACGATGCACTTGAACATAATTCTTGACTTGCGTCTAAAATAGAAAAAATTTAACTTTTTAAAAAATATAATATTCTATATAAAATTCTTTATAATAAATCGATTCAAGTTTCGTGAGCAAGATAAGATGCCGCTCACCGTATACGATAACATAAAAGTAGGTCGCTATACCCGAAGTAGATTGACAATGACAAAAAAAAAAAAAATAATGCATTTCTCTCATAAAGATGCATTTTTTAAAAAAAAATTTCTCAGGAAAATTAGTATTTTACTTCAAATTTCTATTTTATATATAAAATTTTTGTTTTTTTATTTATAATTTTTTATATAAATTTTATTTTTATTAATGAGAAAACAAGAGTAAACTAAAATTACCTGCGTACAATGACATGTGAGTGTTATTTGTCGCTTGTTCTATTACTCTAAAATGAGTGTCCCATTCTGGCATTATAATTAAAGTAAATCCTAAACATTGTATAAATGTAACACCACCTAGCCAAGAAATTCTGTGAATTCGATCGCCCCAATAGGCAATTATAAGACCAAGAAAAAATGGTGTAATTTCCGAAACTGTGAGTATCCAATCTGAAAAAAAAAAAAATTTCACCCAAATTTAATTACATACTTGTATAATTAAATAAATTAATTAATTAATACAGTAATTAATAAATAAATTAGGAAATAATTATATCTCCTACGGAGGAAGCAATAAATACATTAATTAATAAATTACAAATTAATTAATTAATTAATTAATTAACAAATTACAAATTAATTAATTAATTAATTAATTAACAAATTACAAATTAATTAATTAATACTAAATCAATAAATAATTTTGATAATAAGGAAGCAATAAATAAATTAATGAACAAATTACTTAAAAAATTAATTAATAAACAAATTAACAAATAAATTAAATAATTAACAAATGAATTAATTACCTAACAAATTAATAATTTAATATATTAATTAATTAATAAATTTACTAAATAATTAATTTAATTTTTCCCCTTCGAAGGAAGCAATTAATTAATTAATACAGTAATTAATAAATAAATTAACAAATAATTACTTCTTCTATGGAAGAAGCAAAAAAATTTAATTTATTTATTAATACATTTATTCAATAAATAAATACTTCCAAGGAGGAAATAATAAATTTATTTTTTTAACAAATTACTTAATAAATGAATTAATTAATAAATTAATAAATAAATTTATTAATTAATTACCTAAGAAATTAATGTTTTAACAAATTAATTAATACATTTATTAATTAATTACTTAATAAATTAATGAATTATCAAATGAATTATGAAATTTATATATTAATTAAATATAATTACGATTTTTCATAGCATATAATTTTTTTTTTTTTTGTGATTAAATGTAAATAAAAAATTGACCAACCCATCCAATAAGGATCAATTTGAAATCTTCTTGCTATTGTGGAACTAGTTACATATAAATAGGAATGTGCTGCTGCTTGTAATAGGCCCAACCAACACAGGAGGCTTACAAACACACAACGTGTCGCAAATCGTTCTAATTTCGGGCATCTCACTTGACTGCAACCACAATCTATCGATTGCTCGGAAATGGGATGCGCTGGTCCTGTCAGACCTTCAGCCTCCGACCTCATCACCTCCCGAGGTCCTATTGTCATTGCCCCACCTATAAGACCAATTTTTTTTTTTTTTTTTAAATTATAAATTGAATAAATCTTCCATAATCTGACATAAAAATTATTATATTTTATTTATTTTTTTTTTAATCCACTTTTATGTCATAAAAATTTGTCCACAAAAATAACATGTATCACTGATAACACTCATAATATATAATGAATCATCAGTTTCATTATATCTCTGTTGTAATGTTTTTTTTGTCGATATTTCAATTCACGTTAAATATTACAATAATATTCATTTATTAAAAGAAAGGCGATTAATTTTTAATTATCAACTTTAGAAAAAAAAAAAACAATATTTTACAAGTTTACATTCAGAGAAAAATGACATATTTGTCTCAGAGCCAAATAAATATTTATTAATAAATTATTATTATTATATTATTATATATTAATAAATTTTTGTTTGTTTCAAGTAAATTTTTATTTTATTTAAATAAAAAATTTTATTTACGCCAAATAAATGGAATAGTAGGCTCTGAGACAAATATACGTTTATTTAATTCAAATATATTATAGCTGGTTTAAGAAAATAAAATTCTTTGGGTGTATAGTATAGTGTAATATAATATGATATAATATAATATAATATAATATAATATAATATAATATAATATAATATAATATAATATAATATAATATAATATAATATAATATAATATAAGAATTATTATTATAATTATAAAAATTTCCAATAATTAAAACGCGAAATTTTATTTTTATAAATTATTTTTACAAATTACATTACCATTATTCTAATTTTGGAAAAAAAAACAAATTTTCTAATAGAAAAACAAAAGAAAAACGAGAGCAATAAATAAAAAATTGTTAGTATGTCTCGTGTGTGTAATAGAAGACTCGTTGCTCACGTGTACAATGCCACTAATTATGATGATGAATGCTCACGACATTCGGACGCGAATATTATTAATCCAGTCTCTTTCTCTCTCTCTCTCTCTTAATCTACATATATTTATCTACTTACCGTTTTATAAAATGAACACACGCGATTTTTTCTCTAAAACACTAAAGTTTTTAAAATCGACACTTATTTATAAAAAAAAAAAAAAAATTCATCTATGGCGGCATTAGTCGTTCGTTTTTTAAATAAAAGGTCACGTTTTTTTTAGAAATTCATTTCATATTGACAGAATAAAAAAAAAAGAGGAACATCTGCGCGTATTCAAGAGACTAAAACCGGCAAACAAAAACTGATGACTTTAGAGGTGTGGTGTACACGAACACGCATGTTATCGTATACTAGATACGACCTGAAGATATCTTCTGATAAAATTCACAGCCACACATATATATATATATATATATAGATTGTATAAACATGTGCGCGACACGTATACCTATATAGGAATAATATTACTCAGCGAGTACCTGTTATTCTTGAAGCGGCGTTAGCGCAGTTGTTTTATCTGGAATCCCCTCTGCATGCGCTCAATTCTACGTGAGTCAGTATATATATATTTTAGTATAGTCAAGTTCCAGATGAAAGACTCAGCGACACCTGATATCTATTTTTTTCTAATTCTCTTTACAGTTCACATTTATATACTAAAATTGAGAATATAATTGAAATTAAATTTTGATTTAAAAAAAAAAAATTAAGAAATTGTCTTGTAAGGTGAGCACGACAAGAAATTCCTCAATTATCGATTGACGTGAGACGAACAATAAAAAAAATATTATCAAACTTATATTGAAACTCAATTTATTTTCTAAAGGAATTAGAAAAAAATTTTATAGTTTTAGGTTAAATAATCTTTGTTACGATTTAGTTTTCTATAAAAAACCTCTTTTACTTTTATTTGCGATAATAATTCTCCGCAATAACTGAAATAAAAAAAAAACGAAAAAAAATATTAAAAATACAGAAAATTTGTTTATTACATAAATTTAGCTTTTGCCTTTGGAAAATCTTGGTCAATTTTTTTTTTCAAGATTTTGTTCGCAAAAAGGAAAGAAGCACCTGGTCCGTTGCCTTGCAAGGAGTTACCTTAACTTAAGCACACTTAAGTCGATGCTGTAAGAAAATGACGAATGCCAATTAGCATATGAAAAGCCCCCTGGCTCTTGCACCCAAGTCTTGGTTCCGGTATTCTCTTTCTCCAAGCGCTTGGCAGGGCGATCACGTTTTTGAATATTAAGGGCAGGATTACACCGAGAGCTTAACGCGCAAAATTAAGTCCGTCGCGCCTTCGGAAAAATCACCCTTAAGACCCAACCCCGTGCGTCAGCTTTCAAAATCGAGAGACACTTTACCTTTTTTTTTTCACGTCACTCGACAATTTCTTTTCTAATATATATATATATATTTCTTTAACCAATATATCAAACAATATAAATATAAAAACATGTATTTAATTCAAAAAAAATTATTTCTGTTAAAAAATAATGTTATAAGAGAATTGAATAAAAATATAAATTTAAATATATATACTGTTAGTTGAAAGTACAAAGTTTAAAAGTAATTAAATAAGGGTATGCAAAAAGGGGTTGAAAAAACATTCATGGTGAATGCGCCCTATTTCCTGAGAATTAGTGAAACATTGTTAGTCGAATAGAATTAGTGTTGCTCCCATGAAAGCAAAATTCTTTTATTAACTCTCTCTCTCATATAGAGCAATTCTCTCCACTGCGATAGATTCGTGTAAAATATTGGCAACATATATATATATATATATATCTATATTATAAATATGATACGCGAGGACTATATATTCGAAAGTATATATATATATTGACAGATATTCCTATATATGTATATCTGACACTGGAGGATGCGAGGCTTTCCATTAGTCGAGTAAGTGACCAGCGTCCACATTTTCTTTGATGTCAGTTAATTTACTAATAACATCGTTGGGTCTCGTCGCGAGAGCGTCCTCTAAATATTTGTATCGTCAACACATTGATTTGACTTTACTTAATGAAGATTCATTATTATTTAAGCTTCTAGACGAGGTCAAACTTCATATTTAAGGTATAGGAAAAAAAGTATTTCTAGGATGTGAAAATTTGCCTCATTTTTGTAGCTATTTTACTTTATTTTTATCTCATTTCACTTTTGCAATTTTACTTTCAATTCCATTTTCACCTTTTCGCATTCACTATTCCACTTTTACTCTTAATATTCCATTTTCACCTTTCCAACTGTTTCTATAGCAACTGTTTCCATATGACAACCATTAACATAACAACCGTTTCCATAGTCACCATTTCCTTAGCAACTGTTACCATAGCAACGGTTACTATAGCAACGTTATCATAACAACGGTAACTATAGCAACCGTTTCTATAGCAACGGTTTCCTTAGCAACTGTTACCATAGTAACGGTACTATAGCAACAGTTACCATTGCAACCGTTTCCATGACAACCATTATCATAGCAACTGTTTCCATGACAACCGTTACCATAGCAACCGTTTCCATATTAATGGTTTCCTAAGTAACTGTTACTATAGCAACGGTACTATAGCTACCGTTTCCATAGCAACGGTTTCCTTAGCAACTGTTACCATAGCAACCGTTTCCATAGCAACGGTTTCCTAAGCAACCGTGCCTATAGCAACGGCTTTATAGTAACCGTTTCCATGACAACTGTTACCATAGCAACCGTTTCCATAACAACGGTTTCCATAGCAACTGTTACCATAGCAAACGTTTTAATGGCAACCGTTACCATAACAACCATTTCCATAGCAAATGTTTCCATGGCAACCGCTTCCATAGTAACCGTTGCTAAGGATTTTTTTCCTTAGCAACGGTAACATTAAAATTGTTCACAAAACCCTGCAATGAAGGCGCCATACGCCTACTTCTCTCATATTTATGTATTAACCTGAAATCTTCTAAAAGTGTGGTTCTTCAAAAAGAATCAAAATTTTTTTTCCCCATTTTTTTTAAATTAAATTATTATTTTACACATAAAGGAACAAAAAATACCGTTGCCTAATAATTTTAAAATCTCACTTAACAAAAGAAATATATATTACACTCGGTAAAATCAATTCAATAGACTCATCAGATAAAATTGATATGACAGAGGGAGAAAAGAGTTTCTTTTTGATCAATCTTAGGAAATATTAAAAAAAAAAAATTTTTTAAAAGAATCTTCGAGGATTAATTTATACAAAGAAAGGGGGGGTTAAGGGAGAAGTTGAAATCAAAAACTTTGAATGGTAAGATACGTGGGTTGTATATTAAGGTAAAAAAAAATGTTGCCAACACAGAGAAAGAGTGAGAGAGAGAAAAAAAAGAGAGATGTTGGAAAACCTTAGTAAGGGATTACGTCGAATTAAGTAGGCGAAAAAGGGGGCTCGTGGCCCCGTAACACTTAATTTTTCCCTCGATTTTTTAATCTCCTGGTAAATATCGTCTCTCTCTCTCTCTCTCTCTCTCTCTCTCTCTATCTCTTAGTGGCCCCCGCGCTTTTATTCCCTCTGTCTCTCTTATTTCTTCCATTCTCTCTCTCTCTCTCTTTTCTTGCCAATGTCTGGCAAGCCTGGGCACAGCCATCAAAGAAGAACCCATTTAAAAACCTCATCAATGCCTAAGCTCCTGCGCTACCGTTGGAACTAATCCCTCCTATTTTAACGCGACGGAAGGAAAAGGAAACGCTTTTAAAAGTAAGACTCCGCCTTTGTTGGTTGGGATACAAACGTTTTATTTCGACTTGAGAGAAGTAAAAATTGCATAAATGTCCGTTTCTTTCTGTTTTGCACAATCCCTCCTTTGCGATGTGCATGAAGGGTGGGTTTAAAGGCGGGGGGAAGGGGGGTATTTTTTTTTCTCCTCTACTTCAGTTTCATTCTATATACACTCTTAATTAGCCTCTTTTTTTTACAAGCCACACACACAGGTTCATTTTTAAAATAGACTAATTTTTTTTTTATATAAAAAGAATTGGAATAAAAAACGGAATTTTTTTTTACATATTTATGATTAGCCTCATTCTTTAAACTATTTCACTTTCATTTTCATCATTCCACTTTCATAATTCAATTACAACTTTCCTGAAAGTATCGTTTACTATCATGGTAACGGTTGCTATAGTAACTGCTGTTATAGTAACTGCTGTTATAGTAACTGTTGTTATAGTAACTATTGCTATAGTAACTGTTGCCATAGAAACCAACGGTTTCCATAGAAACCAACGGTTGCCATAGTAACTGTTGCCATAGAAACCAACGGTTGCCATAGTAACTGTTGCCATAGAAACCAACGGTTGCCATAGTAACGGTTGCCATAGAAACCAACTGTTGCCACAGAAACCAACGGTTGCCATAGTAACTGTTGCCATAGTAACGGTTGCCATAGAAACCAACGGTTGCCATAGTAACTGTTGCCATAGTAACTGTTGCCATAGAAACTGTTGCCATAGAAACCAACGGTTGCCATAGTAACTGTTGCCATAGTAACTGTTGCCATAGAAACCAACGGTTGCCATAGTAACTGTTGCCATAGAAACCAACAGTTGCCATAGTAACGGTTGCCATAGAAACCAACGGTTGCCATAGTAACTGTTGCTTTAGTAACTGTTGCTATGGAAACGGCTGCTATGGTAACAGTTACTAAGGAAACGGTTGCTATAGTACTGTTGCTATGGTAACAGTTGCTAAGGAAACCGTTGCTATAGAAACAGTTGCTATAGTTACCGTTGCTATAGTAACCCTTGCTATGGACACCGTTGCTATGGTAACAGTTGTTAAGGAAATCGTGGATATGAAAACGGTTGCTATGGAAACAATTGCCATGGTAACGGTTATAGAAGTGGAAATGAAATTACGTAATCTAGTACTTTGTTTTAAAACATTTTTCCAGATTTGTTACAGAATTATTAAATAATTAATAATTTTAACAATCTACATTACAAAAAACGGTATCGATCTATTATCTTTAAATCTGAATTGCAATAAAAAAATATATTTCCAAATAAAACATTTTTTTGTTTTTTAAATTAAATTTATTCAAATTGATATTTATGATTATATTAAACCGTGGAGAAAATAAACAAACATGTTTACAGTTGACATAAACAGTGAAAGGGTTTGTGTATTTTGACAATGCGCTTTAAACTATAGCTAAAGGAGGGTGTTTTGACTGTGCGCGGAGTTATTCTCGAGTGTTGGGCTAACATTCATAATGAAATTAATCTGCGGACAAGCCGATAGACCGCTGATGAGCGACTGAGTGGCTAAAAAGCTTGATTTTCATCTGATGTCCTCTATATCCTCCCATATATGTCACGCCCTCTTGTCAACAAGAGAGATCCATTTCTGAAATTGAAACATATATTTCAAAGTTTCAATATTTACAAATCTTTTCCGCATATAAACGATGAATATATTTT